AGTCCGAACGTGCCGTATGGCGCAGGGAAATGAATGTAAGTAATAGAACTCGGCGAAATCACCGACAAGAGTGAAGGAACTCGATGAAAAAATATTTGTGTGGAGACCTATCMGAATGTGTCCTTTGGCGTAGGTGAATGAATGTGAGTGATAGCACTCGGCGAAATCAACGTCAAGAAGTGTGGCCGCAAGCCGATTTTCACCTTGCGCTGTGGCGCGCCGCATTTTCGCTCGTACGGTAGCAAATGACGTGACAAATAACTTTTGCTTTATACCTTTTGCCATGAGATGCGTATTTCAGGCGCTAGGTAGACAATTTTAGGCGAATTTCCGAAATTTCAAGGCCGGAGTTGGGGTTGAAGATGCAATCCGATTTCAAAACAAAAACTTGCATTGGAATCAGGAAGTATTAAGGCAACTTTTCCGCACTATTGGAATCGACCCACCCTAATGGACACCCCACCGTCACCACTTATAAGACTAGTTGAGGACAACAAGAAAGAAGATGGCCTAATAGGGTGTGATGCAAACGCAAGGCACACCGTATGGGGTAGCTCCAGTATAAACACCAGGGGTGAGTCACTCTTACAGTATATTCTGAATAGTAATTTAAGTATATGCAATAAGGACGATAAGCCAACCTTTATTTTCCCAAGCTCTGATAAGGTTTCCGGGGTGGGAGGAAATGCCGGACCTCCCGCTATCAACAGATACAGACAGTTTCGTTCTGGATAACTGGAGGGTGTCCGATGAGCCTATCATGTCGGATCACTCCTGAATATTATTCAGCGTTTACGATAAGTACAGTACTTCTCTCAAACATCGTAGCCCTAGAGGAACAGCATGATAAAATTTTATATACAGTATAGCAACAAAATGCCTTAAAAAAGAAGGCAAAAAGAGTATCAGTAATCCTCAGGAAATAGATTCAGAAGTAGGGAGTTAGAAAAAGTCTCAACTACAACTTTCAATAAATCCACTTCTTGGTGGAATAGCGAGCTTAAGAATTTGAGAACACAACTAAGGAAAGCTTTCAATGAGAGTTTTAGAACTAAAATCTGGCAGCCATATAAAGATATCATGAAAATATACAAAAAAAGCGGGCAGGAAAGCTAAAAATGACTCATGGCGATCTTTCAGCACATCGATAGAAAATTGCAGAARAACCGCTGGGCTGAGTAAAATGCTATCCAAAGAACATACTAATACTGCCTACATCATGGCGGAAGGAAATGATTGGACCTTCTCTGCAAAAGAATCTCTGGAGGTACCTATTAGAACGCACTTCCCTTGTTGTCAGCAAACGCCTTTAACGAGGGTTCAACCAGAACCACCGTTAAACGCAGCTGATTACCGAGGCCAGATAGTGGAAAAAAGCAAAATAACATATGCCATAAATAGTTTTTAACATTTTAAATCGTCTGGTCAAGACGGGCCCATAAAGAAGTTGGAAAATAATTAAAGTGGTGTCTCTTCCAACGCCAGGCAAAAGAACACACGATAATGCCTAGGATTTTAGACATATAAGCCTTACCTCCTTTATACTGAAAATACTGGAAAGACTAATAGACTTACATTTAAGAACAATAATGGCGGACAAGTTTCGAAGTTCCAACATGCATACATAAAGGGGTGATCAACCGAAACTGCTCGTCAAAAGGTGATAAATGTAGCGCTGAACGAAATACTACTCCAATTAAACGGTGGAGGTGTGAAACCAGTATCATATGCAGATGATATAGTCTTGTTGGTATCAGGCATGTCTCTTTCAACAATCAGCGACGATGAAAGGAGCACTACGAAGGTTAAACGTATGGGCTAAGACCAATGGACTAGTTGTTAACCATTGATGCTAATCATAAGCAGATCCAAAATCCCTCAGTTTCAACTTCCGATACTAAACGGTACAACACTCTCTCTATCCCCCACAGCTAAATACTTGGGGGTGGAGATTGACACCAAATTGTCCTGGAAGGACTGGAAGTTGGGGCCTTAAACCTAGTATAATAATTACGGCTGTCATAAGACCTATACTTACATATGGAGCTCTGATGCCCAGCGCTAAACAAACAAACAGTGCTGATGTTACTGGTGCAATCAAGTCATGTTCGACTGACGCGCTCAATGTGGTCCTCCCACATGTCTACCCATTGACATCTTTATTCACAAATCAGCAGCATGATCAGCTATAAGAAAAAAATAATTGGGTGGTTGGAATCTACAGAACAATGTACATAGTGGAATCCTAAACAGGCTCAACGGTAATAAACCAGACTACGCTCTCCCAATGCTGCATTTGAAAAGACACTTCCAGGTGAGGATGCCCTATAGACGGGAATGAAAAACAGGCTCAATAGGAGAGGAAGATACCATCTCAGTCTATACAGACAATTCTAGAATGGGCTGAGGAGTAGGCACGGGGTATTTTTCATTGATCTAGACATCTCTCTCTCTCTATCCGAACTCGGCTGGCATACTTCCAAACGGAAGTACTGCGCATAGAAAATGCCTGCAAAGCTCTATTGGAAAAACTACGAGACTATACGTAAAGCAGCAATATTTACAGATAGCCAGGCTTCGCTCCTGGCCTTGTCTTCACCTATGACAAATGCCAGTATAGCCAAAGCTCAATGAAAGACAACCTCCAACTAGACTTGATCCGAGCCGGAGATAATACGAAGCCCGCTCGATAAACAATTTCAACAAGTTGCAAATAACAGATAAAAAAAAATAACAAAGTGTAGACTCCGCCTATTATAACTAAACTATTATGACCAACATATGACAAGAAAAAGACATATAACTTATTAAACAGGTCTAGGAAAAACATCTAGAGAGTAACATCTACCATAACAGACCACTGCCTCTTTGAAGAGCATGCGTTCAAAATAGGCATGCCTTACAACAACATCTATCGATGCTGCGGAATAGTAGGGAACAAGGAAACAATTTTCCACTTACTCTGTGAATGCCCGGCAATATCGCAGATCCGGCACAGAACACTTGGAATCCACCAAGCACCAAACCTTGAGAGAGAAGGTAAAACGTGATAGCAGATATAAAAGAATAGTACATCAAAATGGCACAGCCGGTGCTAATTGAGCCAAAAAAAAAATAGGGCTGCACTCCTACCTACCTACCTACCTACCATAACAGGATCTAGTCATTTGGAGAACACATTTAGAAGGGATGTAGAAGGGAATAAGGAAACAGTTTCCCACTTTTTCTGTGAATGCCCGCTATAACACAGACATAGTATACTTAAAATTTCGGAGTTCATAATCATCACAGATTTCTTCATTACTGAAACTAAAAAGAAAGTAAGGCATAAAAGCCCCAAAAATAACGTTCACATCCGCATTTCGCATGAAACAGGTTACTAGATTGGAATACTATACTGTTCAAATAATTGGCATCTTATCACATACAATCGGGAAACAAACAAACAAAATTGATTCTAGATAAGTAGTGGGAAGTGGTCATAATTTTGGGCTGCTGAAACTAAAACTGATAGTAAAAATTTCCTAACACGGAGGAATTTTGGGTTGTAGTCAAAGGATGTTGGGGTCAAACTGCTACCATTCACTTAAATGATTTGTTGTGCAGTGTTATCAATAGTTATCCAAAATTAAAAAGATGATCCCTTCAAAATTCAGTATATATTAATATATTAATAAATTAGAATTTTGAGAGCTACTAAGTTTTCTTAATTTACATTAAGAAATTGTGTAACACAGGTATATATATATAATGAATTACCTATATCGGGTTATTGTACTATTGGCAGTAATCAATATCTACGCAAATTAAATTTTTTGTGGTAACGAATTATCATTAGCGAGCCAAAAATAAAGCGGCTAAATCTACACTTCATGCTTAATCCAAAAATTTTGCATTCCTCCGAATTATGTCACAATTTAAGGGATATGACAATAATAAACTGATATGTATTTGCTATTCGTGTTTGTATACTCACCCGTAATCCTCAAACATCTCCTTATTGCAGAACTATTTATAATTGAACCATAAGTTTTACACAGATTTATTTTACATAACACAATATCTAATTTCTGAGTTATGGGCTAAATTAGTTTTCTAATATAATGAATTGAATTTGAAGATAAATATAAGATATATAAGCTTTTCAATAGGGATGATATGATTTCTAAATGTCGGTTCAACCATTTTTACTATATTATGATCTGTAATTTTTTTTATTGTATTCAATTCCATCATGAAAAGATATACGCAAGAACTACGTCTATTAATTGTTCAATTTTATTATCAAAATAATCGTTTTCAGATTGCAACTTTTCGTGAGCTTTTGCCATTTTACAAAACTCTCGATTCTGGTGCGAAGAAAATCCACAACTTGTTCATAAGCAACCGAAACATTCTCCTAAATTGGCAGTTTGGCGTATTTTTTGGAATCATGGGTACTTACTTCTTTCGAAATGAAGCTGAGTGACACCGTTACTATCAATGGAGGTTTAGATCGATGATAACGCACTTTGTTTAGCAGCAATTGGAAGAAGACAATATGGTTCCAACAAGACGGGCATACGTGCCACACAGCATGTGCAGCAATCAAACAAGTATGGCTTCCAAGAAGTTGTGATTTAACACCATTAGACTACTTTTAGTGGGGTTATTTGAAGTTATGTGTTTTAAGTAATAAACCAAACTCTCTTCAAGCTTTAGAAGACAATATGATGATATATTCAGACCTTAATTGTATCCATTATACCCCACACTAAATATAAACATTTTAGTTGTCTTAACAATTAATGTTTTTTTTTTTAAGAAATCATATCACTCTTATTGGAAAAGCCTCTTTTAGAAAAATGTCTGGTGTGAATCGATTCAAATTGCTAAACTAGGTGGCCAACAATAATGAGTTAAAAACATACAATTAATATCATATAATTAAAAATATGTATTTGTAATTAAATAAACGTTATTGACGAAAATAAAAACTTATGGTACAGTATAAGTCTCACATTTCTTATTAAGATCCAGTTCACTAGGCATATGTCCAGCAGAAGAGCGCATTACTTTCATTTTAGCCCACTGATGTGTGTGCTTAATACGCATATGATTCCTAACGGAATTTGGATGGGCAAACCGGCGACCGCATTCGATTACCGGACAAATTGAACTATCTCGTGGATAGTGTCCATCTAAATGTTGCCGAAAATATCTTTGCTCTAGCGGAATTGCGCAGAGAGGACAGGGCAATATGTGAGCGCTACTTGTATGTGCAGTCACCGTTACGTCCCGTAAACTTGTATTTTCACTAATATGAGGAGTTCTTTCCATTAGGTGAGTATCACAAGTATTTTGTTGATTAATCGTTGATTTCTGAAGCTCGTATAGATAGTCATATAAGGGCTGTTGTATTTCAAACTGCTGTAGAATTTCAAACTCCTGTTGTTTTTGTTGTTGAATTCGTGTGTCATTTGATTGTATATCATGTTTACTAACCATCTCTTGAAAATATGTGGGTTGTTTATTTATACAAGCAGTTTTCACCATTAGCGACAAAGCTGCAGATTTTGCTACAAAATTATCTATAGGTAATTTTTTATTCATATTAAATCTATTCTTATATCCGATTGCCTTTTTATCCTCAAATTTTTTATTCCAAAAGCGGTTGCATAAAAATGTAGAGAAACCCTTTTCTCTTAAGTTGCTGGATATTTCACCGGGATGTTCTGTTGTATGAGAGTTATTTACTCTTTCATTAATATTTTTTTATATAAGAATTTAAGGCTATATTTTATTTTGTACATTAAAGCTTTCGCAAAGTGTTAAATTTTAACAAGCAGAGTAATTAGATCATCTCAAATTGAATAATACGTATAAAAAAAATCAACTTAAACTAATCTTAAGTTTCACTAATAAGTAAGTTTATGAAAGTTCATAGAAGAATTATACTAAATGCAAACAAATATATTTTTTCACGAATTTCCTCAAAATTAAGTATTAAAAAGTTCCGATTTTTTTAAATTTTAATTCAAAACCAAAAAAAAAAGATTCTGACAAAAATCATTAGTAATACTGATCGATCAAGATCAGTCTTTTCAAGTCATTTCAAGCAATTTGAAACCTCACTTCACTAAAATCTAAACTACTCAGGAAATATTAGTTTACCACCAGAATTAAAAACAATTTTCACAGATTATAACTGAATATTGAAACCATTAAAAAAAAAACAAGTAAGGAAGGGCTAAGTACGGGTGTCGCCGAACATTTTATACTCTCGCATGATAAAGTGATAATCGAGATTTCAGGCGTGGTTGTGAACCGACTTCACCCATATTTGGTACATGTCATCAGGGTRTTAAGAAAATATTATATACCGAATTTTATTGAAATCGGTGGAGTACTTCCTGAGATATGGTTTTTGGTCCATAAGTGGGCGACGCCACGCCCRTTTTCAATTTTTAAAAAAATCCTGGATGCAGATTCCTTCTGACATTTCTTCCGTACAATTTAGTGTTTCTGCCATTTTTTGTTAGTCAGTTAACACACTTTTAGTGATTTTCAACATAACCTTTGTATGGGAGGTGRGCGTGGTTATTATCCGATTTCTTCCATTTTTGAACTGTATATGGAAATGATTAAAAGAAACGACTCTAGACAGTTTTGTTGATATAGCTGTAGTAGTTTTCGAGATATGTACAAAAAAGTTAGTAGGGGGCGGGGCCACGCCCACTTTYCYAAAAAAAATTACGTGCAAATATGCCCCTCCTTAACGCGATCCTTTGTGCCGAATTTCACTGTAATATCTTTATTCATGGCTTAGTTATGCCACTTTATAAGTTTTCGGTTTTCACCATTTTGTGGGCGTGGCAGTGGGCCGATTTTGCCCATCTTCTAACTTGACCTTCTTATGGAGCCACGAAATACGTGTACCAAGTTTCATCATGATATCTCAATTTTTACTCAAGTTACAGCTTCCACGGACGGACGCACAGACGGACGGACGGACAGACAGACATCCGGATTTCAACGCTACTTGTCACCCTGATCACTTTGGTATATATAACCCTATGTCTAACTCTTTTAGTTTTAGGACTTACAAACAACCGTTATGTGAGCAAAACTATAATACTCTCTTTAACAACTTTGTTGCGAGAGTATAAAAATACAAATTGGATATACGGAAAAATTCCATTTCATCTTATATAACTAGTGTTTTGATGCATTAGTTTACGTAGGATACATAAACGAAATCCAATTATTTGCATAACAGGCGTAGAGTTATATTAGTATAGCCTATGGCTATGGGTAATTTGGGAATTTCAAATGTTCGATATTTTCACAGTAATCGAATTACTAACTCGAAAAAACTATAAATAACCAAAATGAAAATAACTAAGGACGGATTAAAATCGGGCGCTATCCGAACCTTAAATACTCTCACAATTTGCAATTATTCCGTGCCTGCAACAATTTTCCTTTATAAATATTCTACGTGTATATTTCAATAATCGTTATATGATAAAATATTAAATGTGTAAAAATTTTATTTTATACACATACTTGTATTGAATAAATTACTCCCGCCAAATCAACTAATATTTCTGTAAACATTTTCCTCAAGATTTCCGTAATACCTATATAACAAACAATGCGGAAATAGATTATCGTATGAAAACAAAAACATCAATGCAATAAATCAAGCATCAAAGAAAGTATTGGAATAACAATTTGTACTTCTATATATTGTAAATAGTGCTTCACGCTTTGATCTTTGATCCCAATCAGACCTCAAAACTTTGGTTGACTTTTTACCGAAAATATCGGTCAGTCTATGGGATAGTTATGGGAAGTTAGGAAAAATTAAGTTAGGAAGTTAGGTTGTAGACTAAATTGATTTTATAACTATATTTTATTTCCCTACAGCGTAAATTACATTAAAATTATCCTCAAATAAGACAAATCTGACAAATTCAATCGAGCAGGTTATTGTAAATAAATTAAGACAATGTGCAAAACGTTAACCAGAGAATCGGCGTACATTATGCGATATAAAGAGAGCAGGTAGTTCGAAAATCCGCGGTTCAAAAAGAGTGATAGCCGTGACAGGGACTGAGACGAGTAGGACCTTCTGGTGTAGTAAATCCCATGTAAAAGAGCGCAACTTCGATGGTTGGCCGAACATCTAGCCACAATCCGCATCAAAACGAAGTTCTTAAACATATCGTTGATTTTCGCCAAAACGCTCTGACGGAAGAGAAGGTTGATGTGACTAAAGATGTCTTCTAAGAGAGCTCCCCCGCCACGGTTTCCTACTTGGCGACTTTAACGTTAGGGTAGGCAAAGAAGGAGTCTGTGGAACAACAGTCGGTAAATTTAGACTCCATGAGAAAACATATGGATTGAGACTGATCGATTTTTTGCTTGCAATTGCATATTAAGCTCCTGAAGTACAGTTGCAAACGAAACCTTTGGTTTTCGAACAAAGCAAAGAGTGTCGTGTCGCAGTGGAGAGAAAACAGACTGCTTACGTCGCCATACTACAATCGCCTACTGCACGTGCAGATACCGAGAGTTGAAGAGAGAAGCGAGGCAAAGGTCCAAACAAAAAAGAGAGAGAACGAAACGCAGGAGAACTAAGAGCTGGACAAGCTGGTCGACAGGGTTAATGCTCCATAATTTTATGAACAGATACTGCGACTAACAGAAGGTTTCAAGACTCTTTTAAAAACTCTTGTAAAAACACCCAGAGGTGATCTAGTCACTGATTCCCAGATCATACTGAAATGATGCAGGGAACACTGCTGAACACTGGAACCTGCTGAATGGCAGTGAAAGCGTAATACCAGGAGATGGTGAACCCGATTCCCCAATTGATGACGATGGACCTTCTATTGTCCGACCATGAAGAAATTTGAATTACAATTACCCATCTGAGGACGACAAAGCGACCGTTGGAATTTAAGTGTACTCTGTATAATCTAMATAAAGGGAGACCCCAAGCCTCCTCAGAATCGCATGTGTGTAAGATTAAAGCCCACCGTCAACAAGCTGATTGGATCTTATGAGTGTGGCTTTAGACCTGGAAAAATTTTGAAAAGACCCGTGAAAGAAAAATCGACACACACCACCACTTCGTCGGTTTCAGCAACTTTCGACAGCACGAAAAGGAGCTGCCTTTATTCCGCTGTGTCTGAATTTGGTATCCCCGCAAAWCTAATACGGCTGTGTAAACTGACATAGTGTAATACTAAACGCTCCGTCAGGATCAGGATAGATCTCTCCGAGTAGTTCGATAGCAAATGAGGTTTGAGACAATGCATCCCATCCCTGTCGTGCTAATTCTTCGATCTACTGCTGGAAAAATAAGACAAGCTGCACAGCTAAATAGAGAAGATACAAACTTCTATAAGAGTGTACAACTGCTGGMTTACGTTGATGATATCCATATGATTGGTCTCAGCAACCGCGCTTTTAGTTCTGCATTCCCCAGACTGGATAGAGAAGCGAAGCAAATGGGTCTGGTAGTGAACGAAGGCAATGCGTAATATCTCCTGTCATCAAAAAAACTGTAGGCAATTCAGAAATAAAGTCCTCATGCAACGAACAAAGGCCAAATTCTACAAGTCACTCATCATCCCCGTTCTGCTATAAGGTACAGAGGCATGGACGATAACAACACCTGATGAGTCGGCGTTACGAGTTTTCGAGAGAAAGGTTCTGCAGAAGACTTGTGTTAACTTGCGCTTTGGCAATGGTAAATACCGCACTCGATGGAACGATGGGCTGTACGAGGTATACAACGACATCGAATTAAGAGACAGCGGCTATGCTGGCTAGGTCATCTTGACCGAATGTATGAAAACTCCAGTTATAAGGGTATTGGACGCAACATCCACCGGGAGAAGCGGAGAAAGAGGCAGACCTCCACTCTGTTAGAAACACCAGTTGGAGAAGGTCCTGGATACACTTGGAATCTCCATATATGGGTTCTTTAACACATCTTCCCAGGAACTTCTTCAAGTGAAAGTGAAGATGAGTGCACTGAAAACTATAATCTTCCCACTGCAAAGCAGGCTTTATCAAACATAAGTGACGTCATTCTCTACGTATCAGTACATCAACCAACTTTGCTGCTAGAGTTTTTAAAGTTAAAAACGAAATTGGAACAAAATATGGGATTATCAAAATTAAAACAAATTGAAATAGAGCATATTTTTCTAGAACAAAACTTCGTATACATATATATATGTACATACATATTTTAAAATGTGTTACTTTTTATGTTGTGTTTTTTTTGTTTTTGTACTACTTATTGAATAAAATGTACGTTTTTTACTCAGTTTTTAAAATTAAGTTAAAAAAGTGAAAAATACTATTTTCCTTATAAAGTGGACACTCGCAGGAGTCCAGCTTAGACAGGTTTTACTTTAATTCAGACTTCCATTGGAGCAGAATGGAAAGTGAACGAATACCTTCATTCACATATTATATATAATGTTACAAATTACACTTACATACAATACTGACACAGATTTAGTAGAATCACATTTCTTTGGTTTTTTTGATTCGCACAAACTTCCCATTGTGTGAAAGTAGGGTTTCGACAAAATATCGATAGGTGATTCAATTGATGTTTTAGCCTGCATGAAATATTAAGCATGAGAAAACTGTCAGTGTCCCGCTTTTACACATTTGGTATCAGACTATTTTACTCTATTTAACAATAATTCTTGACCGCAATAAGTTGTACACAACAGACATAATACATATCAATAATCAAGAAAAACTCCATTTACCGAGCTCTACTATGAAAATTATTAAACCGACACCTTATTATAGAAAAATTACTCTAATTACAATGAATTTTTATGAAAAAGTAACCGTAGCCATTTCGGGGCAATAATAGCAGCCATCTCACCCGCTATACAGTAATTTGAACCAATTGAAGAGGTCATCGGTGTCACGAACGCCTACTTTGTAGACCTCAGTAAGACGAAGCCTGTGTTAAGAAATAAATCGCCAATTATCCAAAATTTTCGGTTGTCTTAATTAGAATAATCACTTCCGAATTTGCTACATTGTATCATTGGAAAAATATCCAAATTTATTTTTGAGTACATTTTCCATCATTAAGTCAAAATATTTTAGCAAATTTTGGTATTTTCAAGTTCCAGGTTTATTCATAATAATATTGAATATGCTTTTGTTTTCATGATTATTCCATATCTTATATATTGATCAATTATAGTCTCGTTAATATTGAAGGGTTTACATATTATCTTTAAAAGTTGTCACCTTGTTTCGTTTATTAAATTTTCATTCTAACATTTTAGCATTGTGTTTTAAAATATACAGGTAAGTTCGCCAAGAAGAAAGTTTAATTATAATACTAATTTGTTGTGGTATGTATGCACGATATACGGAAAATTTCGCATAGTTTTAGGATGTTTTTAGTTAGTGCCTGTCAAATATTTAATTAATTTAAAAATTTCCAGATAATTTAGCAAATTAAAGTGAGAAGGAGGAGATTGTTACCAACAAAAGCAAAAAAAGTTTCTTGACTGAAAATTATCATAAAAGACGTTCAATTGATAAATTATTAATATTAATTTTATCGTTTCCTCATTTACCATAACAGAAATGATATTATACATATATTTCTTATTTTGTTTCATGTGTTCTGAAATTTATAATTAACAAGTAAGGAAGGGCTAAGTTCGGGTGTCACCGAACATTTTATACTCTCGCATCAAATACCGTATTTGTGTAAAGTTTTATTCCGCTATCATCATTGGTTCCTAATGTATATATTATACAGAGAACGCATCAGATGGAATTCAAAATAGCGTTAATTGGAAGAAGGCGTGGTTGTGAACCGATTTCACCCATATTTCGTACATGTCATCAGGGTGTTAAGAAACTATTATGTACCAAATTTCATTGAAATCGGTTGAGTAGTTCTTCAAATATGGTTTTTGGTCCATAAGTGGGCGACGCCGGTCGGTTTTCGTTTTTCGCCATTTTGTGGTCGTGGCAGTGGGCCGATTTTGCCCATCTTCGAACTTAAACTTCTTATTATGAAGCCAAGAAATACGTGTACCAAGTTTCATCATGATATCTCAATTTTTACTCAAGTTAMAGCKTGCACGGACGGACGGACRGACGGACAGACAGACATCCGGATTTCAACTCTACTCGTCACCCTGATCACTTTGRTATATATAACCCTATATCTGACTCTTTTAGTTTTAGGACTTACAAACAACCGTTATGTGAACAAAATTATAATACTCTCTTTAGCAACTTTGTTGCGAGAGTATAAAAATAAAACATAGACTAGAAATATTGTTTCGATCTTCCCTGGTTTGATATATGGAAGAATGGCCCAATTTCAACTTTTTTTGATGTAAATCATCAAATTTTAAAAACACGGTTTGCTTTTTTTTAGCCTTTCCTTGCCAAATTAAATAAGAAATAACAGTTAGTAATTTTGAGTTTTAATTCAGCATTAATAATGTCAGACGCTTCGTACCGAGGTAAAAGCATTAATTYTAATTGGTGTAAGCGAACATTTTCTACTCGCAAATTCCAAAGTCCAAACATTTTTGAAAATTAGGACATCTCATTAGATTAGTTAGATATATAACACTGGTAAACACTGTTTTTGTCACATGAACTTTGTTATGATTTTCATTTATGTTGGTGCACCTTCATTAAAAATACATAACAGTTTTGTTTCTATCACATCCAGTTTTTTTGTGACAGCTACATTTTCATTTCTGACCTCATATACGTTTCTTTGTTTACATAAYTGCATTTAGTCGACTGTGTAACTATTGTGTTTTCTAAATTACATTTTATTTACATTAGTTAGAACGTAATTATGCCACGAAAGTGTTTGAAAAACCCGGACAACTTTTGTTATGCGTGTGGAGAATTAACTTCTACATCTCAGCGTGGAAATTTCACATCACTAAGTGAACAGTGCTATTTAGACTATTTTGGTATTCCTGTGAGGAAAACACGCTGGGAAAATTTGTGGATTTTTTAAAGTCATTGCACTTTTACTGCTACTACAGCTTATAAGAAATTTTGCTGTTTTATTTGTGAATGGGACAGTAGAGACAGAAAAAGTCACTTTAAGAAAGTGTGGCCCAAGCGTGAATCACTAACTCCAAGCCATAAAAATGTTAAAATTGATCCTCTAGTGAACCCTGATGACATACTTTTACCACCGTTCCACATAAATTTTGACCTGATAAAAAATTTTGTAAAAGCTATGCCTAAAGATGGAGATGGATTTTTATATCTAAAAGAGAAATTCCCTAAACTCAGCGAGGCGAAAATCAAAGAGGGAACATTTGTAGGCTCACAAATACGGCCATTGATGAAGGATAGGAGCTTTGAAAACTGAATGATCAGGAAATACTCGCCTGGAAATGTTTTGTGAATGTTGTTTAAAATTTTCTAGGTAACCATAAAGCGGAAAATTACACAGATATAATAACTGAACTTATGATATCATTTAAAGCTTTGGTGTGTAATATGCCCTTGAAAATACATGAGTGACGAACAAGGTGAGAGGTTCCATCAAGACATTTCCTTAATGGAGAAGCGTTATCAAGGGAAATAGAGTCCAGGAATGCTAGCAGACTAATGTTGGAGACTTAAAAGGGACCTACCGGAAGCCAAATATTCAAAAAAATCATAAGTATCTATTAGATATTAGGAAATGATTCTGTAAGTGTGGCTGAATTTTGTACTTTTTACGAAAATATATGTTTTGATGTCACAAGAAAATATGATATGTACAGTTTTTTATTGATACATTATTATTTGGAATATTCAAAATTTTATATAAATTTGTAATTATTATCTTACTACTGTAAGATATCAACATATTGCTATATATAGCGGTACTAAGACAACCGGTAGTTTGAAAATATTTATATTAGACAAGTGAGAGCTAGTTATAGACCACGTTTTTATCCATGTTTAATATGACGACATATTGTTGCGATGTTGTAATGTCTCATTTGTATTCTCTCCAATTTGCCCAATTATAATACCCGCTGAAGCCTTTCCCTACCAAAATTTTTGTGAAATTAAAGGCTTTTGACGTATTATTATTTAGTTAGTTACTTTAGACTATTTTAACAATTAAGAAACATTTCGTTACACTATTTTAACAAATAAGAAAAATTTCATTCGAGTCTCTAATCATAGTTACAAATGATGGAAAGCAACATGTTGGTAAGAAATAGACTAAATCACCAGGCTTTAGAGTCTACAGCAGTGACGCTCATTTAACAACAACGCAATAAAAATTCAAACACGCGTGTTTGACTGACAATTCTGCTACTGCGAAAAATATCCCACGCACACGAAAGCGGCTGAACACGTACGCTAGGTCAACACAAAGAATCGGCATTTAGTACACTGACAGAAACACCTCGAATTTTTAAAATGTTTTCAAGCGAATGGCAAGAAAATTATTTTTTTATTGAAACTGATGAAGGGGAATTTTCCACTTTCAAATTAATTCAAAATAAGCAAAGAAACACGCTTTCTGACCAACATCTTACCGATCTTCTACGCATTAAGGAGTATAAAGGGGAAATCAATATTGATGATGTATTATCGAAACTAGCCATTTAGTCAACGACTTTATAAATTTTCAAGTATTACACAAAAAGAATTCAAGAAATATTTTGGATGTTTTTTTCCAAATTTGCCAATAATTTTTTTCCCTGAATGTAAAAAAAAACAGTAGAAATTTGTTCAGCGTACATGGGAATCTATAGCAATGTTTGTGCAGCGCAAACATAAAATGTAGTAGTATTGAGGCGTGCCACCACTGGTCTGCAGCCTAGTTAGACGTTAGCATTATCTTTAAAAAATGATGATAGGGACTTTAACCTGTAAATTATCGACATCTTTTTCAAATTACAAATAGCCAATTTAAATACTTTTTTGGTACCGTAGAACATATATTTTTAGCAGATTGTGATTACCATTCAAAACAAATTACGCCTAATTAATGCCAAAAAGAGGGAACTGTATTGCACTATAGTGAATATATGAATATTGAATCATACTTAATTGATTTTACCGTAATGAAGAATGTACATCGTTATATCATTTATAACTGATGATACATTTACTGAACGTCTGGCCTAAGAAAATTGAAATATGTTCAAATAGCCATTAATCGCCCAACGTTCACTGAGTTGCAGTTAAAGGATGATATACAGAAACCAAAGATTGAACCACCGGTGGATTCCAACATAATCCATAGGCTCTCCTCGCTTCTTAACTCTGGTAAAATAACTAACCGTCAAAATGTCGTCTTTTATTTCTTTATGTATACCTGATAAGTAGGGATGAACACGGCCACAACTACACGACTCTTACAAAATCACATTTTGCGAAGCGATTCAGCTGATGAATGTTATATTATTTCAGGATGAGTAACAATGGAATTATAGTTGGAAAATATATTAATTATGGACCGTTCGTACCAACTCGTTTAGTCAACTGTTGATTGCAGACTGACTTGACTGTTGTTTTACACTCTTCGTTTGTGCTTGTTAGTGACGATATGAGTCTAATCAAAAAGGAATAATTTAACATTTTTTAACATTCTTATAACTTTTAAAATAATATACGCGATGTAAATTACTTTTCTAGTGGTATCCAAGAGCGTTATCTTTCTTGGGTTAATCCAATTTTCAGTTTGGGATAGTATTCGAAAAAGTGGCGAACCGTCAAGATAGCTAAACCCATCTTATCTGGGCAAAGCCGTCTTCTTGCAGACGAATAAGTCTTCAAGCTTTCTTTCCAAAATCCTACGATCAAAGAATTCAACTCTACAATTTCAATTTCGTGCGAAACTTTGGATATAGAGCAAGTAAATATATATATAAAATATATTAAAACAATATCACCCTGTTGTTGTCTCTATATGCCATCCTAATGTTTACTATACTACTACTACGGTCGGTAAATTCAGCCTCCACGAGGAAACATCCCCGAATGGGTTGAGGTTAATCGACTTCGTAGTACTAGATTCCAACATAATAAAATTCGTTGTTATAAACGGAAGACACGTCTCCAGCGGGCTGCTGAGAGCAGAAGAGGGAAGTGAGAGCATAGCATACTAAAATTATAGGGGGAGAACTTTTTCAACCTACTGAAGGGTAGTGAAAGCATAATGTCACGTGAAAGCGAGCTCGATTCAATAACGATGATTGCCAACCTTGAAGAAGTTCGGATGGCAATTACCCGCCTGAAGAACAACATCGCCGGGGGGCGCTGATGGATTGCCGGCAGAGCTATTCAAACACGGCGACGAAAAACTGATAAAGAGAATGCATCAGCTTTTTTGTAGAATATGGTCGGAAGCTAGCATGCCCGACAAAAAGGGCCTCACAAAAAGCCTCCTCAATATCGCGTGTAAGGTTTTGACGAGTGTCCTTTGAAAAGATTAGAACCCACCGTCGTCAAATTGTTTGGACCTTATCAGTGGGACTTTAGGTCTTGGAAAATCAACGAATGACCATCGAATAGCATTCAAAGCTGAAATTTCGGCAATTTTCTTCCTTTGTTGCATTCATCAAGATGTGTTATCAGAGAAAACACAATTTCTTTTTTTCTATATTTTATTTTTACATTTTGTCCCCTTGCCCGAGAGGTTGTATTTCTGCCGTTGGGTTTAGTGGCACCAATTTTACAATACATTACAATTTCAATATTTATTAAATGAACTGTGGCTTGCAGCATTACCAATAAACAAAATAATTTTTCTATTYAAAATACTTTTTTGTGAGCCCATTGCGCAATAAAGTTTTTTACTTTGGTGGAAATATGGCCTTTTATGTTTGTGTTACCGATTAGTATGTTTCTGATTTGCGCAATGAGGTAGGATTTTTTGGATGCATTTAAGAGAGCTGAGACTGTATACTTGCTATCAGTACATATTAACGTTTTTATATTAGAGTTTTGTACTAGGAGAAGCGCATTATAGATGGCTGCTGCTCTGCGGTGTTTGCTAAACAGTAAAGGCAGATGCCCAGCTTTTAACGTATTTTCAAAGTTATCCGCACGGGGATCGACTGATTTAAGGGGTCGCTGCTTACAATGTCATGAACTTAAGCTAACTTCTAGCAGAGTCATTACATTGTAGGCAGCCAGCTTTTAGCGAAGGCTGACGTACTTTCCCAATAATCCAGTTATGTTGGAATGCTGTATAAGCATCTTCAGAAGTAGGTGAATGGATAATACGAAGGCCATTACTAATAACACAGTACAACAGCAAATCTGGGTGGTGAGAAATTCCAAGTCAAGGAGATGGTACTAAGTCAGTATAGTAAAACCCTCAAAGGGTTTGGCGTTCGTATGTGTCAGTTTTTTTATGACCTTTTAAATTTTTTCCTTTTTTCTCATGGTTTTCTATCTACTAAATGGTCCAGATATACGAAAACTGAGAACAAGTGACGCATTCAACAATATTTTGATTGATATATACTGAATGCATGGCAGGCAATCAAAGAAGTAATAGAAGGCTTGTTGGGAAAGCATCGTTCTAACAACTATGATGTTTCTATTTTTTTTTTTTTTTTTGTTATTGCCGAAATGTTACAACTAAGCGAAGAAACATAAAAAAAAAACTGACACATGCGAATGCCAAACCCTTTACGGGTTTTACTATACTGACCTAGTACCATCACCCTGCCTTGGAATTTCTCACCGCCCAGAAAATAATCCCAAACATGTTCCACAGCGTAAGGTACCTGGCGGGAAGTACGAAATGCTAGGGGTAACAGAACTGTGAAAGCACACCTAAGCGTCCTCGAAAAAGAGGATGTACAAARATGTAGCCATGAAGGTAGACGTCAAACACGCGGGCGACAAAGCGACAACGTCTAAGACAGCCCGCTGGGACAAATGTCACAAGCCCGATGGAAAATAGTGGAAGTGAAGTTATTGGAAGTCCTATTTTCAATAATGGACACCGAGCCGAGCGCACCCATGCCGTCATTTGATGAAGCAGGATAGCTTAGAGTTTTCAAAATCTTTAAAATCAAAGACGACCCGATGCTAACATGAGTAAGGGAAGCGGTCAGAACGTGGTCGTTGGGCTGAAAGAACGGTAGTGCTTCACCAGGGCTAAGCTAGCAGAAAATGAGGACTGTTGGAGTGATTATAAAAATCTTCTAAGAAATTATAAAAAGTTAGTGCGCAGGACCACGCAAGAATCCTGGAAAACTTTTTGTAGTAGTTTTGAAAAGACCAACGAAATGGCGAGACTTAGAAAACTATTCTATCTTAACGGATAATAAAATAGARTCCGTTTTTTCGATTGCTCCAATGTTACGGAATGCACTCTGTCTATCCTTCTCATGGCTAAAAGCAATTTTTAAGGAATGAATGAAGTTCAGCTGTATACCACACTCATGGCAAGTAAAAACAACCCAAGTAACTCATAAGAGTTTAGGCTATAAGCTTAACTTCCTTTCTGCTGAAAGCACTAGAGAAGATCTTGGACGCGCACATTAGGGCGGCAACACCTCCTGGAAGCTTGTTCAAGGCGCACCATGCATATACGAAGGGCAGATCAAATACTCTCCATACACTGCTATTTAATATCGACAGACGTCTTGAATTTAAGAAATACGCTCTTGGAATATTCCTTTACATTTATTGAGCGCTCAACAATATCTCTATCGAATCTGTTCTGAGCAGTATCTGGTCAATATTGGTTGCTCCTCCTATACATCTCTGGATCAGGGGCCTTTTGACACCTAGAAGGATAAGAGCAGAATAGAACGAGACTAGAATGACCAAGAAAGTGTGTAGAGGTACTTCTCAAGGTTGAATGCTATCTATTGACATTAGTGTTGAATAAACTACGAAGGAATTTGGAAGGCAATTTGTTTAGGGTATTTCCAAGGAAATTTCGTGACGGGATTGAAAAAATTAATTGTAAAAAAAAAACACCCTAATGTACATACATATATGCAAGTAGTCAGATTTTTTTTTTAAGTCTAATATATATTTCGGTGAGGAATTTGCGCCAAAAATTAAAGTTTAAAGAAGAAATCGTCACCGGAATTTTAGTTGGAAAAGAACTTCGTCGCGAAAAGTTGAACTCAATCGCCAATTTGGTTTACACGTTTTATAAAGATATATTAATTAAAATGGCAAATCTTCCGGGGGATGCTCCTCATTCCCGTTAAGAGTGGAGGCGTTCCAGAAGTGGGTGGAAAATTTGCGGATCCCATCAACGCGGAATTTACCCACTCGCAATAGATTTACTTGCATTTAGCACATCGAACAAAGTGCAGTGGCTGTGAAAAGTTGAAAACGCATGATGTATCCACCCTCCTGCTTGGTTAAATGTGTGCAAACACATCGAAAACGTCTTCGATAAGCTTAATTAAAAATAATTTGCACATGGAGGCACATGGGAATCCGGGGCCAGCGCGATATTTTTTYCCCTAGTATAGGTTGAGAGCTACAACCAACTGTCATCGGCTCGTCTCATACTAAGCTCAGTTTCTATATAGCACTCGAGCTGTGAACACGTGTTATAACCACTCTGCGACAACAAAAGGAAATTCGACACTCCGAAAGTTTTTTTTCAACTCTGTGTACAGTTGATTTTTTTCACGTTTTCCAATAAATTCATCCAGGTAAATATGTTTATAATATTAGTTGAGCCTTTAGCCTTCGACACACAAAAGAAATTTTGCACGAATTTACATTGTGTTCATTATCCAC